TTAGGCCCTGCTTATGTAGGTGGGCAGGTAAGACAGGAAAATATACCGCTTTAATCTGCCTGTTTCCTGCCCCGGGCTCTGGCATTTTAAACATTTCTTCCTGGGAAAAGTGGCTATTTTAATATTTTTCTTGGTGATGCACCATGCGTGTGGGGGGTTGGGGGTAAGATATGACAAAATAATTTATAAATTATCAAGGGTTCAAGAGGGAAGGGGGAGCGGGGAAGGAGGGGATAAAAATGAGGAGCTGCTGCTGGGGGTTTAAACGGAGAGCAAATGTTTTGAGAATGATGAGGGCCATGAATGTACAAATGTGCTTTACACAATTGATGTATGTATAGATTGTGATAGGAGTTGTATGAGCCCCCAATAAAATGATTTTTAAAAAGAAAAGAAAAAGAAATCCATGTTTAAAAAAATAATGAATGGACACCCCTTCCTTCACAATTATGAAAAATTTACATTGCGGATTACATTTCCGGTCAATAATCCATACACAAAATGTTCCATGACGTGGGTTCCGATCTCTATGCCATGGTAGGGCTCTCCCCTTTTCTCCCTGGGCTCCCCATTTTCATTCTTTGGGTTCCCATATCCCTTCCCATCTTTTGATCTTTGCTTTGGGGCAACTCTTCCCCCTTTGGTCTTGAACAATTAAGTGTCCCAAGGAACACATTCTTCTGAGGCTACTGTTTAATATTATCAAGCTGTCTAATCATTGGCTGGAGGCTGGTGCCTGGAACGTCATCGGTTCAGGTTGGAAGGCTGTCTCACGGGGTTAGTTTTGAACACTCCTGCAGGGAATCTACTCTGAGAGCTCTGGCAGTAAAACTGAGGACTTGGACCAGTAAACCTGGTCTTTAAAAAAAATGTCATTAACTTTGTTCCACATTTTTACCCATTCTAACTGGGACCTTCTATTCGGGTCCTTGTTAGACTGGTGGGTAATGTAGGCAGGCACCAACTTCTGGTCTCAGATTAGAGGGCTAATCTTCCTTAAATCTCTCGTCTCCTTCATCCTCCATTGCTTGAGGTGGAAAGAGATCAATAGTTGCTTCTTCGATGGCTGCTCATAAGTGCTTAATACTAAATTTCAAGGTAAAATAGTATTTTTATGAAGTATATATATGTTTATGAAATATATTTATCCTACAACTTCAGTAGCCTTCAAATCCCAATGTCTAAAGACTTCCTGTAACTGCGTCTTCTACCTGCTCTACTAAATATATATATGAATATACATGCAGCATTTATAACATTTGTATGTGCAAATGGCCACAACCATGCCTACATATGTATTTGGATATACTCATATTACTTTACTCACTTATATTGCACATATATCTACCAATATACCTACTCACAAATTATCACTTGTTATCCCTGTGGTTGAAGGATTGTGTATGTTATGGCATTTATAATAATTATGGTGATAGCTTTGCTTTCTATTTGTTCATGCTTCTTACTGTTTGCCTTGGTCACACTGTGCTGATTTCTCCCATATTGTGTATTGCCCTTCTCATACCGTAATTGATACTTGGGGACTATTTTAACCATGAGTCCCACCTCCGCACCAACACACACTCCTGTCCAAAGTATTCAGTAAAGAATATTTCTTTCTGTGTTAACCTATTCTTGATTTTTTAAAATAATGATGTCAATACAATATTTGTGACTGATTTACTTTACTCAGCATGATATCTTCTAAATTCTTGTAAGATGTTGTAAGATGTTTCTCAGATGTGTTTTTCATTGCTGCATATTATTCACTTGTAGGCAGGTGCTAGAAACCTTTTATCCATTGATCCATCAATGGAAACTAAAGTTGCTTCCATCTTTGTGCTGTTGAGCACAAGGTTGCAATGAACATATGTGTCATCCATGTCTTAGTTCGTATTTCTCTAGAACATATACCTTGGAGTGGGATTGCTAGATCATATGGTATTTTGAGCTCTACCTTTTTAAGGTACTTCATATTATTATACATAGTGGTTGTACCATGTTCCCTTCCTGCCAGTACTGTAAAGGAGTTAAACCTCCGCACCGCCATGCTAGCATTTGTGTTCTGTTGTGTGATCAGTGCTATTTTTGCCTGGGTGAGACAGTATTGCATTGTAGTTTTGATTTGCATCTCTCTAAGGGTTAATGACCATTAGCATCTTTTCATGTTTTTGTTAACCACCTAAATGTATTCTTGGTTTAGTGATATATATATACATGTATATATATATATCAAGTGGTGTCTTTATCTACACTTAATATCAAGATTATGCTAGCTTCGTGGAATGAAATTTTGGGAGGATTTTTTCCCTTTTCTATATTCTGGAATATTTTGAGTAGAATTGTGCCATCTTTTCTCTAAATGCTTAGCAGAATTGTTCAGTGAAGTGGTATGCGGTTTGGCTTTACAGTTGTGTTGTTCTATGACCTCCTCAGTTTCTTCTTTTGTTATGATTCTGTTCAATTTTTCCCCTCAGTTTGAATTAGTTTAAGCAGGTAGTGTGTTGCTAGCAATTTATTTACTTGCTCCATATTTTCAATTTTTTAGAGTATGGGTTTTAATATTATTTTATGATTGGCTTTATCTCATTTGGTTCTGTTATAATGATCATCTTATTGATTATTTGAATCTTATATCATTTGGGTTTGAAGTTTCGCCACTGGCTTTCTGATTTTTTTTCTTTCAAAGAATCAGCTTCTAGTCTGACTGATTATTTCCATTATTTTTCTGTTGTCTACTTCATTTCATTTATTTCTTCTTTAATCTTTATTATTTCTCTTTTTTCCTAACAATTTTGGGCTTCTCTGGCTACTCTTTTTCTAGTTATTTGAGTTGTAGAGTTCTGATCCTGATTTTGTCTCTCTCTCTCAACAGTTTTATTGGCATTTATTCTACATATAACACAACTTAATAGTTCAATCATATCAAGATTTTTTTAATGCATGTGTGTATTGCTATAAAAGTGACCCCTGAGCATTGCCGTTGCTGTGTCCCAAAGGTTTTGGTATGCTATATTTTCATTGTCATTTGATTTGACATTTTCATATTGACTTAAATTTCTTCTCGTATCTATTAAAATTTTAACTAGAGTATTATTCAATTTTCAAGTATTTGATATTTTTTCCTTGTTCCTCCTGTTATTGATTTATAAATTTTTATTCTTAGGATCAGAGAAGATGCTTTGTATTATTTCAATGTTTTTGAATTTATTGATTTTTGCTTTGTGATCTAAAATTTGGTCTACTCTGGAGAATCATTCATATGCATTATAAAATAATGTGCATATCTTTAGAAAGTCTGTTGAAATATCAAAAAGGAAAAGAATGTGCATTGTAATGCTGTGAGGTTTATGTGTGGATTTCTCTGTATACAAAGGTAAGTAAAATATACATTGTTACTACTTAAAATTTCCTTTTATCTCCAAATGTCCTAATTTTGCCATTGGATTTGAGAGACAGTATTGCTAGATATGTAATTCTTTTTTTCCCCTCTTTTTTTCTTTCAGAATTTTACATAGGTCATTCTATTGTGTTTTTGCATGAATGGTTTCTCCCGGGAAAGGAAAACTGAGCCTTGGTTCTCCAGTGTAGGTAATATTTCTCTCTTTCTGAGCTCAGGATTCTTTCAATGTCTTTGGTATTAGAAAATTTGATTATAATATGTCTTGGTGACTTTCTTTGTGAATCTATCCTGTACATGGTTTATTGAACCTCTTGAATAGATATCTTCTTGTATTTCATGGTATTAGGGTCATTTTCTGGCAACAAATCTTGAAAACAAATGTCTGTGGCTTTTTTTTGGTTGGGGTCTGCACTTGAACTTCGATCACGTGTAACTTATTTTCCTTATCGTGTCCCCAATAATTCAGGCTTCAGTTTTCAAGTTTTTCCCCAGACATATTAGTATCAAAAGATTTGTGCTCTATTTCACTGAGTCTGCCTTCCATTGCTTCAGTTCTCTATCTATGTCCTTTTACTGAAATATTTTTATTCATCTTCTGGATTTTAAGTTGTTTTGTAAAGTTCTTAATTGTCTATATGTTTGTTTGTTTGGTTGG